GATTTTTTGAACATCAAGATTTTTTTAATCAGCAGATTCCGCTCGAACAGGTGAGTGTAAATTGCAGGTGATAGAACCGAGTGAATTCTTTTGAGATGTTTTGTTTGCTCTGCCTCAATCAGAAACGGCTTCAAACCCTTCGTTGCTGGCAGCTCAAATCTTGTTGGTTAAAACCAGAAAAAAAAAAAAATCAAGTTGTGCCTTTTTTTTTCTTTTATCTCCTTTCTTATGATTTACCGAAGTAGGTCAATTGTTTTTTTTTGGTTTTTTTTTTAATAGACCGAAGATTAAACTTCCTTCTATTTGTTTTTTTTTTATACCCTCGTTCTTCCCCCAAAGCTCGGAGGTTTTAATAATCTTGACCAATCTTTCCACCTCGCCGGTAGATTGGATTTTCTCCTTCCTTATCAGCTCAGAGTTGGGGCCTTGAACATCATCTTAATATTTTTGTTCAGATTAAAAAGGGAAAACAAACTGTTTGATTTGTGGGCAGCAAACCATCGACGGCCTGGCGTTGCTGGGACTTACAGTGATTTCCTGGCGGGCCGAGATGTGGGGGGGTGCTGATTGCAGATGGATTTCGGGGTGCTGATTGTCGTGGATGACAGAAAGGTGTTGCTGCTGGGAGGGACAAGGGAGTTGTGACGGGAACACGAGCATTTATCAGCAGGGGGATAATCTCCCAGTGAGACTAAAATACCACTGGAAAGGTAAATAGTAACATTAATCAGCAGTGCCAGTGTGTGGGACAATTAGCAGGTGCTGTTTCCAGTTTTCCCAACCAGTTTGGGGAGGGGTTTTTTTATTTTAGTGAAGCAGGTTGGAGCAACCTGTGCAGGTGGAAGGAGCTGATGGAATTTTCAAATTCCCTCCCTGAGACAAATCGCTCTCATCTGCACCAGAGACGAAGTTTTGAAGTAAATTAAAAAGGAATCCCCAAGACATTCCGCTTCTGATTGTCAATTTTCTGGTAATAACCCCGAGCTTGTACCCACCACGTGGTAAATAGTTCGACCAGCAACTAATCCTCTTAGCGGCCGGCACAGGAGGGGGAAATTAGATCAGCATATTGATTAGAGATTACTGGGGGCTGATTGTTGTTGTTTTTTGTTGTCTTATAATTCACCCCCCGACACAATTAGTCGTGGATGGATTTCGTTTTCCTTTGTTGTTGCCGCCAGGCCACGCGGTAAATGAGTTGCTTGTACCGACGATAATCGCCCGGCGGGCTTAAATCTTCCCTTATCCCTCCTTCTGATTTTCTTCCGCCACTGCCGATTCTCCGCTCCCTTCTGATGAACTCAGCTCGTCTCAGAGGAGAGGGGGGGTTGTTGCACGTAGGGGCTGATCGGTTTGTGTCTCTCTGGTGGCAGGAGCGCCGTGGCCGATGTGCTGCGATCAGCGGGCGGGGCCCCCGAGGCCGATCAGCACTTCAGCGACATCAAGGAGCACCTGCACCTGGTCAGGAGGGACATCGAGCACTTGGCCCAGCGCAACCCGGTAAGTTTTGGGGGGCTGGTGCCGAATCCCACTTTTTTTTTTGGGGGGTGGTTTTTTCGGGGCTGTCGATGATGCGATTTACGGGGCGATGAATCCATCATCGAGCTGGGTGTCGATGAGAGGGGAGATTTTAATCGAGGGGGGGGAATTTGCTAATTAAGGTTTGGAAGTGGAACAAGTGGCGATTCACTCGAGCGATCGCCCAGAATTATCGTCGATTAATTATCAATTAATCTTCGTTAATTTACCACATTTATGATGGTTTTTTTTCACTTAATTCTTTCCCCCTCCAACCCTCAAAAATCAGTTTATGATGTGAGATCCTCCAACCCCCCCAAAATCAGATTTCTGTGACAAACACGCAAAGATTGGCACTTTTGGCCCAGTGATGTCATTTTCTCCATCACTTGAGGGGTTTGTTTTTCGCTCCTTTTTTTAATCTACGAATCTTTGGATGGGCTGTCTGCTTTTCCCTCTCCTCTGACGTCACCCTGCTTGTTTTCCAGCCGCCTGCCGAGAAGCCCAAGTGCCCCGAGCTGCCGCCTTTCCCCTCCTGCTTGTCCACGCTGCATTTCATCATCTTCACGGCGGTGCAGACGGTGCTGTTCGTCGGTTACGTCATGTACAGGTAAGCTAAGGAAACAATCAGCCGTCATCCTCTGACGTGAATTCACATCCCACCAAAATCTGCTGTGATTTGGGGGTTTTTTTATTATTATTGTTAATTTTTTTGGCTTGTTATTTGTCCCTTCAAACCATTTACCCATCCTACAAACCATCTACCCACCCTACAAACCATCTACCCACCCTACAAACCATTTACCCACCCTACAAACCATTTACCCATCCTACAAACCATTTACCCATCCTACAAACCATTTACCCATCCTACAAACCATCTACCCACCCTACAAACCATTTACCCATCCTACAAACCATTTACCCGTCCTACAAACCATCTACCCACCCTACAAGCCATTTACCCGTCCCACAAACCATTTACCCATCCTACAAACCATTTACCCACCCTACAAACCATTTACCCGTCCTACAAACCATTTACCCACCCTACAAACCATTTACCCATCCTACAAGCCACTTACCCACCCTACAAACCATTTACCCATCCTACAAACCATCTACCCACCCTACAAACCATCTACCCACCCTACAAAC